GGTGTTGTGAAGTTGGTTTTGGCTCATAGTGACCATATGCACAACAGAATGAAACACTGTCCGATCCTGCACCATCCTCACAATTGTAGTTATTATTGCTGCCACTGTGTCGTTCCATCTTGTTGAGGGTCTTTCTCTTTTTCATTGATCTTCCACTTTACCAAACATGATGCCCTTCTCCAGGGATTGGTCCTTCTTTACAACATGTCCAAAGTATGAAAGATGAAGTCTCTCCATCATCACTTCTAAGGAGCATTCTGACCATGTTTCTTCTGAAACAGATTTGTTTGTTCTTCTGGTAGTCCATGGTACTTTCAGTATTCTTCACCAACTCCATGATTCTAAGGCATTGATTCTTTTACAGTCTTCCTTATTCATTGTTCAACTTTCACATGCATATGAGGTGATTGATTGTCCTCTAAGTAGTATCTTTGCTCTTGGGCATTGTAAAGAAGTCCTTTGTAGCAGGTTAATGTAGTACATTAAGCAGACTGCTTTATGTAGTGCATCGTCTGATTTCTTGACTGTTACATCCATGAACATTGGATTTGGATCCAAGCAAAATGAAGTCTTTGACAACTTCAGTCTTTTCTCCATTTATCAGGATGTTATTTATTGGTCCAATTGTGAGGATTTTCATTTCCTTTATATTGAGATGCAACCCATACTGATGCTGTTATCTTTGATCTTCATCTGTGTGTATTTCAAGTCCTCTTTGCTTCTAGTAAGCAAGGTTGTGTCATCTGCATTTATCACAGTTTATTAATGAGTCTTCCCCCAATCCTGATACCATACAAACCAGCTTCTAGGATTATTTTTGCTCAGCATACATACTGAATAACTATGGTGAAAGGATACAACCCTGGCACATACCTTTCCTGATCTTGAATCATTTAGTATCCCTTTGTTCTGTTATAATAACTGCCGTTTGATCTATGTACAGGTTCCTCATGAGCACAGTTAAGTGCTCTTTGCAATATGTATGGTGAAAGGATACAACTGTGATGTACACCTTTCCTGATTTTAAACCATTAGTTTCCACTTGTTTTTTTTTGAACGACTACCTCTTGGTTCATGTAGTGGTTCCTTATGAGCACAATTAAGTGTTCTGGGATTTCTGTTCTTTGCAATATTATCCATAGTTTGTTGTGATCCATACAACCTTTCTATAGTCTACAAAGTACAATTAAACATCTGTTTGGTATTCTCTGCTTTTATTCAAGATACAGTTAAGACATTCTGAGTTGTTGTGTAGTCTTATGAAAATACACTCTTTTGTTTTCCCTTATGAAAGAATAGGCCTTATAATTTGTATATTTCTTCAAAAACATTGGACTGCTAATCACAAGGTCAGTGTTTCAAACTCATCAGCTGTTCCTCAGAAACCCTATTCAGGGTCAATATGAGTCAGAACTGACTCAAAGACATTTAATAACAGCAGCACCATTCTGATTAATAATTCTATGTTAATCAGAAAATAATTCAGGAAATCAGAGTTCAGTAAACAAAATTCAAGCACTACTGGTTAATTCATTGTCTGTAATAGGATAATATCCTTACACCCACAAAGAAGACCAGGTAATACTACTATTATTCAAATGTATACACCAACCACTAAAGCCAGTGATGATGAAATTGAAGAATTCTATCAACTTTTTTAGTCTGAACTTGGTCAAACATGCAATCAAGATGTATTAATCATTACTGCTGATTGGAATTTAAAGGTTGGAAACAAAGAGGAAGGATTAGTAGTTGGAAAATAAGGCCTTGGTTGTAGAAATGATGCTGGAGATCGCTTGAAAGAATTTTGCAAGATCAATGACTTCTTCATTGCAAATACCTTTTTAAAACAATATGAAAGATGGTTAAACACATGGACCTCAACAGATGGAATAGACAGAAATCAAATTGACTACATCTGTGGAAAGAGATGGTGGAAAATCTCCATATCACCAGCCAAAACAAGGCCAGCGGCAGACTTGAAACAGACTACCAATTGCTCATATGCAAGTTCAGTCTGAAGCTCAAGAAAATTAAAACAAGTCCAAAAAAGTCAAAGTATCCCACCTGAATTTAGAGATCATCTGGAGAACAGATCTGATTCATACACTAATGACCAAAGACCAGAAGAGTTGTGGGATGATATCAAGAATATCATACAGGAAAAAAGCAAAAGGTCACTAAGAAGACAAGAAAGAAGGAAAAGACTAACATATAACTCAGAAGAGACTCTGAAACTTCCCCAGCATAGAGATGCTAGAGCAAATGGAAGAAATGAGGAGGTAAAAGAGATGAATAGAAAATTTCAAAAGGCAACTTGAACACACAAAGTCCAATATTATAATGAAATGTGCAAAGACCTGGAGTTAGAAAACCAAAAGGGGAAAACACGCTCAGCATTCCTCAAACTGAGGGAACTGAAGAAAAAATTCAACATCTACTTGAAATATTGAAGAATTCTCTGGGCAAAATATTGAATGATGCAGAAAGCTTCAAAAGAAGATGGAAGGAATACATAGAGTCACCAGAAAGAGATGGTCAATGTTCAGTCATTTCAAGAGTTAGCATATGATCAAGAGCCAATGATACTTAAGGAATACGTCCAAGGTACATTAAAGGCATTGTCAAAGAACAAGGCTCCAGGAATTGATGGAATACAAATTGAAATCATTCAACAAACTGATTCAGCACTGGAGGTACTCACTCATCAATGACAAAAATTTGGAAGACAAGAACCTGGCCAACTGACTTGAAGAGCTCCATATTTGTGTCCATTCCAAAAAGAAGTCACCCAAAATAATGTGGAAATCATTGGACAATATCATTAATGTCCCATGCAAGCAAAATTGTGCTAAAGATAGTTCAAAAATGGCTGCAACCATACATTGACAGAGAACTTCCAGAGGTTCAAGCCGGATACAGGAGAGGACGTGGAACAAGGGATATCATTGCTGATGCCAGCTGGATTTTGGCTGAAAGCAGAGAATACCAGAAAGATGTTTGTTGTTGTCGATATAGTTAAGTGCTGTCGAGTTGTTTCCAATTCATAGTACACCTTTATAGGGTTTCCAAGGAGCAGCTTGAACTGCTGACCTTGTGGTTCACAGCTCAGTGCTGATCCTATTTGTTGTTGTTATTTGCCGTGGAGTCGGTTCTGACTCATAGCAACCGTGTACAGGGTTTCTGAGGCTGTAAATCTTTATGGAAGCAGAAAGCCTCATCTTTTTCCTGCAGAACAGCTGGTAGTTTCGAACTGCTGACCTTGAGATTAGCAGCCCGATTCGTAGCCACTACACTACCACAGCACCATATCTGTGCTTTATTGATTGCAAAGGCTTTTTGAATTTGTGGATCATGACAAACTATGGACAGCATTGTGGAGATTAAATATTCCAGAAAACTTAATTGTGTTCATGAGGAACCTGTATGTGGAACATGAGGCAGTTCCAACAGAACAAGGGAACACTGAATGGTTTAAAATTAGGAAAGGTGTGCACTAGGGTTATATTCTTTCACCATACTTATTCAATCTGTATGATGAGCAAATAATCCAAGAAGCTGGATTATATGAAGAATAACATGGTACCAGATAGGAGGAAGACTCATTAATAAATTGTGATATGCAGATGATTAAACTTTGTTTGCTGAAAGCAAAGAGGATTTAAAATACTTAGTGATGAAGATCAAAGATCACAGCCTTTGATATGGATTGCATCTCAATGTAAAGAAAACAAAAATCCTCACAACTGGACCTATAAATAACAACCATATAAATGGAGAAAAGATTGAAGTTGTTAAAGGCTTCATTTTGCTCAGATCAACCATCAGAACTCTTTGAAGTAGCATTAGGCAAATCTGATGCACAAGATCTCTTTAAAGTTTTGAAAAGCAAAGATGTCAGTTTGAGGAGATGGTATTTTCAATAACCTCATATGCATGTGAATAGTGGGCAGTGAATAAGGAAGATGGTAGAATTGATGCAGGTGTTGGAGGAGAATATTAAAAGTACAAAGGACTGGCAGAAGAACAAACCAAGCTGTGTTGGAAGAAATACAACTAGAATGCTCCCTGGAAGCCAGGATGACCAGACATTGTCTTTCATACTTTGGACATATTGTCAGAGGGACCAATGCTTGGAGAAAGATACCATGTTTGGTAAAATGGAGGGTCGGAGAAATAGAGGAAGACCCCAACAAGATGATTGGCACAGTGACAGCAGTGATGGGCTCAACTGTAACAATGATTGTGAGATTGGCTCAGGACTGGGCTTCATCCTGTTGTGCATACGTTCACTGTGAGTCGGTACCAACTCGATGGCACTTAACAATGATGATGACTGGTTCTTTGTTTGATCTTTTTAGGTATTTAATCATTCTAGACCCTTTAAGCAAATATAATAACTCCAAAATAATGTGGCTGGTATACATAACTTTTTTAAAGGTTCACAGTCTCTGTGACATTCCAATAAAAGATAGAAACCGTTCTTTGCCTTGATCCAGAAAAGTATATATGAGGGACTTCAAGAGTTGGTGGAAAAATTCCATTACCTTTGAATTCCAATTTTCCAGGAGCTTTTTGAAGCCCCCTTGTGTATATACAGATAAAAGAAGTTTGAACACCATTTCATGGGTCCCTGAAGCTTGTGTTTGAACTCTACACCCATCTTTACCTCACCAGACTAGCCAGGGTTTCCACTTCCGAGTGATTCTTATCCATATCTTTCCTTTAGAGGCAAAGTCAAGACTTCTGTTTCTGTCCAGCTACCTCCACAGTCCCTCTCCTTTCCCCGGACTCCCAATGCACCATGGTTTTGAACATCATTATCCACTATTTTGACCCCAAGGCAAAACTTGTGATTGTATGAATGTGTCCTGGAAAATTCAAAGTCATTGCAGGCAAAGGAGTTAAGTCGTTAGCCTATAGATGATGGGGGTAGGGGAAGCCGTGTGAAGGAAAATACATTATTGGAATTGTAAACAAATGTTCTTTTTTTCTTGAAGCTGTTTCCTCTGCCTCTCCTCTACGTTGGAAACCATATAAGTGGATTATCAAGCACAAGTAAATTAAGGTAGAGTATAAGATAATGGTTGATAGATGATTCTTCATGTATTTGTTTCTAATGGTACAAAGATCAAATTTGGTTTCTCCAGATACCGTTTGGATTACATATAGAAAACTGGTGGTGGTGGTGGTTATGTGCCACTGAGTCAGTTCTGACTTATAGTGACCCATATAGGGTTTCTGAGGGAGTAGAAAGCCTCATCTTTCTCCCATGAGTGTCTGGTAGATTTGAACTGCTGACATTGCAGTTAGCAGCCCAGCTCATAATCCATTATGCTACCAGGGTTCCTTATATAGAAGACTTGTTGTTAAGTGTTGTTGAGTCAGTTCTGACCCATAGGGTTTTTGAGGAGCAACTGTGGGTTTGAACTGCCAACCTTGAAGTTCCAGCTGACCTTATAGTTCAGTGCATAATCCTGCAGAGCCACACCAGGACTACTACTGTAGTATTCAGCAATTCAATAATTTCAGAAAGTAAGATTGAATTTTCAGTTTAATTTGCAATGCTTTACAGAATATTGGAATGTATATAGATATATTTCTTTGTATTCAAGTCTGAACATAAAATAGGAGATTTGTTGACATCAAGATAGGGGAAGTTTGATTTATTCAGGAAGGTCCACTAACATGAACTTGGTTGTGTGTAACTTTTGATTTTTATAGCAGTTTTATGAAAACAGGAACGTTTGGTCAGGTTAAGCAATTCACCACAAGTCCAACTCATGGCAATCCCCCACGTGTTAAAGCCTCAAACTGCTCCCTAGGTTTTCCTAGGCTGTAATCTTTACAGAATCAGATTGCTTTTCATCTGTAGTGCTGCTGGGTGGATCTGAACTGCCAACCTTTAGGCTAGTAGTCAAACTGAAAACATTTGTGCTACCCTGGAGCTTTGGGCTAATGCAGGGAACAATAAAATGACAAATTATTTTCAAGTCTGTGCTATTGAGTTCTGAAATTTGCACTTGCATCTGCATATTTTAATTATATATATATATATATATATATATATATATTTTTTAAGGTTTTTATTGTGCATTGAGTGAAAGTTTACAGGGCAGATCATCAGTTTTACATTCAACAAATCATGCACTTTGTTTCATTACAATGATTGATTATAATCCCCTCCATGTACCATCAGTTAACAGTATTTCTTTCTATTCACTTTAACTTTTAAAAAAACACCAAAAAACAAAAAACACTCAGGCATATATAATAATTTACACCTCCAAAGGGCACATTCTGCAAGTCTGCCCCCTGGCCACCAGCTCTTAGTCCCACTTGTCCCGTGAATCTTGCATCCTCAGCTGCACCCCATCGCCGTGACCCCATTTCTGCTTCCATCTCTGGCGTCTGATTATATATTCTTAAAAGTCAGTGAAAAAAATTGAACATCTAAATGTTGAAACACAAAAACCACCCTATAAATAGGAAAACGTGGTATGAGTTATGGAACCTAATGAATGCACGTGAATGAAGACTGAAATAATAAGAAAAATGAAGTTTGTGTAGAGGATAAAGAAAACTTGTTTGTATGATGAGAGTGGAAGAGAAACAGGTAGTAGGTAGACCAGAAGGCCAGAAGGAGAAGGGCATGAGCAATAATGAAATTAAGCCTGTAATTTTTCACGCTTATTCAGAAAAGACAAGTTGAGGTTGTCAGAGAAAAAATGTGGGATACTTTTTAGTATTAAGTTTTAGTTTGCTTGGGCAAATTTTTTTAAAGTAATATTTTGATTATTTCAAATTTGAACTAAAGCTGCCCAGTGTAGATCACCCTGATGGCGCAGTGGGTTAAGTGTTGGGCTGCTAACCACAAGGTCAGCAGTTTAAATCCTTCAGATCCTTCATTGGAGACAGATGAGGCAGTCTGTTTCTGTAGAGATTTACAGTCTTAAGGAAGCAGACTGCCTTATCTTTGAGTCTCTGTCTAAAAAATGAGGGCTCTCAGGTGCCACATGGACTTTCAGAGAGCAGAAACCAATAATGAGACTGAGAAGGAAGAAGGAAGATTTGCTTATTTGTGATTTCTATCTGGGTTAATGCACTGGACAGCAAAGTTGATTTGAACTGCAAGGTCGGCGGTTCAAGCTCATTAGCCACTTCTTGGAAACCCTATACAGGGTCGCTGTGGTTCGGAACCGACTCAATGGCACTTAACAACAATAACAATCCTTCATTTGGAGTCCTGGTGTGGCACAGCGGGCTAATGTGTTGGACTGCAAGGTCGGTTTGAGCCTCAAGATCGGCAGTTCAGAGTCTCTTCTGACATTCATTTTGGTCTTCCTTGTGTTTTTAATGACCTTTTGCTTTCTTTATATATGGTGTTCTTGATGTCATCCCACAACTCTTCTAATCATCAGTCATTAGTGTCTAATGCATCAAAGCTGTTCTTGAAATGGTCTCTAAGTTCAGATGGGATATATGGTGGTGGTGGTGGTTATGTGCCGTGAAGTCGGTTTCGACTCATAGCAATCCTGTATAGGGTTTCTGAGGCTGTAAATCTTTACGGGGGCAGGAAGCCTCATCTTTTTCTGGCAGAACAGCTGGTAGTTTCGAACTACTGACCTTGAGATTAGCATACCGACTCGTAACCACTACATTACCAGAGCTCCTTAGATGGGATATATACTCAAGGCTTTATTTTGACTCTCATGGCCTTGTTTTAGTTTTCTTCAACTTCAGCTTGAATTTGCACGTGAGCACTTGGTCTGTCCCTCACTAGGCCCCTGGCTTTGTTTTGGTTGACCACAGATGTAGTCAGTTTGATTCCTGTGTATTACATCTGGTGAGGTTCACATGTACAGTCACCATTTTTGTTGCTAAAAAGAGGTATATGCAATGAATAAGTCATTGGTTTTGCATCACATAATCTCCAGCATCATTTCTATCCCCAAAGACATATTTTCCAATCACTAATCCTTCCTCTTTGTTTCCAATTTTCATATTAAAACCACCAGTAATTAACAATACATCTTGCTTGTATGTGCTTGATCAATTTCAGACTGAAGAAGTTGGTAGACTTTTTCAGTTGGAGTCCTGGTATAGCGCTATGGGTTAATGCGCCAGACTGCAAAGCCATTTGAACTGCAAGGTCGGCGGTTCAAGCTCACCAGCTGCTCCTCAGAAACCCTAGAGAAGGTTGCTATGGGTCGGAACCGACTTGATGGCACTCCACAACAACAGCAACATTCCCTTTGACATTAGTGGTTGTTGTGTAAATTTTCATAATAATCATATTAACTGGCTTTCTTGATAGATGTATGGAGATTATCCTATCACAGACAGTATTGTACTTCATGATAGATCTTGAAATGCTCTTTTTGACGATAAGTACTACAAAATTCTTTTTCAATTTGTCATTCTTGGCATACTAAACCATATGATTGTCCAATCATATGGCACATAACCACCGGTTATTTCATTGGTGGTAGTGGTGGTTATGTGCTGTGGAGTCAGTTCCGACTCATAGCGACCCTGTACAGGGTTTCCAAGGCTGTAAATCTTTATGGGAGCAGAGAGCCTCCTCTTACTCCTGCAGAACAGCTGGTAGTTTCAAACTGCTGACCCTGAGGTTAGCAGCCTGATTCATAATCAGTACGCTACCAGAGCTCCTTAGGAATTGCAAAATGGTGATTTTTAGTTATACTATTTCTTTTACATTTATTGTCTAAAATTCTTTAATTAAGACAAACTTTCGCTGTTTCACACAGGACAGTTAGGATTATACTTCATTTATAAATATTCAGTGCAGTAAATTAGTATACTGTCCTCTTCAGACGTAACCAGGGAGGGTTATTTTTTTGCTTTTTTACTATCATATGAATTCATAGATTTTTATTTGCTGGATATATTATAGAAACAAATTTTTAATTGTGGAAAAATATATATAGCAATTTTGTCATTTCAACATTTGTATGTGCACAGTTTATTGACATTAATTATGCTTTTCATATTGTGTAACTGTGACCACTCTCTCCATTCCCAGATTTCCCATAATCCTTGAAGAAACTCAGTGCCCCGCAAGTGATAACTTTCCTTGCTCTCTCTCCATCCAGCTTCTGGTAATCACTAATAAACTTTTGTCTCAATATATTTCACTCTTCTAGATATTTGATAAAAGTTAGATCATGCAATATTTGTCCTTTGTGATGGACTTATTTCACTTAGCATAAGGAGATCTGGTTGTGTAGTGGTTATGAATCGGGCTGCGAACCTTAAGGCCAGCAGTTCAAAACTACCAGCCGCTCCGCGGGAGAAAGATGAGGCGTTCTGCTCCCGTAAAGATTTACAGCCTCGGAAACCCTGTACAGGGTCGCTATGGGTCAGAACTGACTCGACGGCACTTAACAACAACAATGTAGAAATAATTATTTTGATGCTCATAATTTCCCCTATCAGGCCAGCTGTTGTTGCTGTTTGTTGCTGTCAAGTTGGTTCAGTCAGACTCATAGTGATCCTCTGCACAACAGAATGAAACATTGCCTGGTCCTTAATCATCATCACAGTTGTTGCATTTGAGCCCATTGCTGCTGCCACAGTGTCAGTCAATCTCCTTGGGAGTCTTCCTCTTTTTCGCTGACCCTTCACTTTATCAAGCATGATGTCCTTCTCCAGGGACAAAGTCTCACCATCCTACCTATTAAGGAACATTTTGACTGTACTTCCTCCAAGGCCAGTGAAATTTTTCAAGTTGGCTGTATGTCCTGTGGACCCACTTGTCTTTGATTACTTCTGTGCTTTGAGAGACAATATCTCAAACTTACTTTATACTTTTCCTACAATTTCCCCAAGGATCGCTCATTATTTTGTAATATTAAATGATGTTTAGAGACCACAGTCTGGGTGTTGGATGTATTTTGAAGGAAGGGCCTACACAGCAACCTGATGAATATGTGCAGTGCAAAGCAGAGAGAGGAGACAAAAGGCCTGCTAAAGTGGAGGAATGGTGTTGCCATTTATTGAAGTGAAGATCATGGGTGAAGCAGTTTAGGGCTGAAATATTGGGGT